ATTAATTTTGGTAAAACGTGAAATTCATCATACTGGAGAGAAAAGTTTTACTGCTAGATTTTATGTATGGGTTGAAACTTTGTCCTTTCTAAAAGCAAGTCCCAACCACATGCATGATGTTTTAAAGGGCCTTATTTCAGTCCTGACAAATGAGCACCAGATGTTTCTTTTATTGTACTTGCATTTTATATAGTCATTCAACATTTCAGGCTCATGTTAAGGTCTTAGAAACTCTCTCTGACCCACCTCTCACCCCATAAAAAAAAAGAGAAGCTGCAAGAGAGGACAAAATCAAGAATAGAATATAATAATTCTGATTAAATACAGCAAATAAATGAAGGAAGAACTTAAGTCTTTTCACAAGGACAAAGACCAGATAGGGTGAGAAAAACTCTGGGTTCAGTTATCATCAAGTACAGACCAACTGTTAGATAATGTCTCATGAAGAACAAAGCTTTTTGGCTTTTTTTATTATTTTATTATTCCTTTCAAAACAATTGTGCTCTGAAAGCTTCTCTGTGACCTACAAATGCCATAAGCAGGAGATTAAAAGGCCTGTAATTACATCTAACCATTCTGGCTTCTCTGCAGGTGACAGTGGGGATGAGGTTGCTTCCATGGAGTACAGACCCTAGCTTTTAGATTTATTTGTTTAATTAACTGTTTTATTTTCTTCTTTTCTTCCTAGAAGCAGCTGTTCATTCACTCCAGTCTCACTGCCCACCTCATCCCTTCTGAAGGAACCTCATCCATTCTGAAGGAAAGTGCTCTTCAGGCCAAGCTTTCCTGTGACCAGTATCCCACAAGGCACCTTGGGGTGGAACTGCACAGTGCCAATCAGAGAAAGATTTGTTCCTGCAAATGCTAAGTATTATTTTCATTCCTGTTAGGCTCAGTCTCTGGCAGTTTTGATTTTCTTTTCCATTTTTGTCTGTCCCAAGAACTTTTTACTGCTTGTCGACTGAATACATTGAAAGGCTTGCTTTCTTGCTAGAGAAGCAATTTAAGTGTAAATTTAAAGCAATGTCAATGTGTAGGTACACACTGAGTTAGAGCACATACCAAGAGGTTGAGAAAAGGGTTCCATTCTTCAATCTACCACTGACTAAATTCGTCACCTTGCTTCAGATTTCACCCATCTGTGAAATGGGATAATGATCCTTCCTTAACTCACAGGGCAAGAATGTCGTTAATATTTGGACTTGGTTTCAGATTCTTGAAGAACTTTTCCATTATATCATTTCCCTGTTTTGGCCAGCACTTGGACTAAAGATGTGAGTGTGGCTCCAACTCTATATCCTAAAAAAGTCTGATGGCTGGGTGTGGTGCCATCACCTGGAACATGTGGTGCCTTTACAGTGGATGTTGTGAAAAATAAGATGAGGTTGTTTTAAAGCAAAGCCTTGATTTGAACCTCTGTGAACTTCAGGGAAGTTTATACTTGGCTCCACATCCCAGTTTAGCTGCTTGGGACCATCAAAGACAAGCCTGTCAGTGAAAAAGCATATGAAGGTGCAAGAAAAGGGAAGAAAGGGGACTGCAGCTGAAAAAAAATATAACGAAGTAATAAGTGAGCAGGTGAAAAGAAACAAAAGCTGAAAGTTTATCAAATCTGCATGCAAGAAACTGGACTCATTTCAAAAGTGGAACTGTAGACTGTATTAGGATCTGATTTTCTGTGGGTCTTGCTTTTGCCTCAACTACCCTGATGCTAATGTGCTACAATGGTGATGGGTGCATTATACATGCTTATAGACTGTCTTTCAAGAAAAAAGGTGTATGTACTGTGTGTAACTGTCTTCCTGGAACTTGACAGAGGGGATGGATATCTGAAATGAATGAGCAAACAGTGCAAATGCCATTCCAATTCACTCCCAGGAACACAGTCCCTTAATGGTTTCCTAGAGGCACATCAGGCAACATAAGCAGAGGATTCTTCACTCCTGCCACAACTGTTCGGTCCCCAGACACAGAAGGACGTGGAATGATTAATGTTTCATTGTGAATGCCAACCCGTTGCTACTGGAAAGAGGTGGAGATTATCTTGATGTTGCTGCCCCATAACGGGCAGATGGTATACATCTGCATGCAGACTCCAAGCTCTGTGAGAAGCTTTGTTTCTGTGTTGCCTGCGGGTTTCTGTGACTCATCTCACACTGAATCCTAAGATGGAAAATCAAACCCAAAATTGATGGATCAGCCCTGAAAGGGACCTATAATTGAATCCAGCCCTCTGCAGGCACAGTTGCACTACACATTCCTTTTCCTAAACTGACAAGGTCGTTCCATCTTGATAACCACAAGAATACATATTCATGTATTACCCACTTGGGCACACACCACACATAACTTCAAATACCATTATCATTTTCCTCAAATCCACTAGTAAATGAATTATTTAGTGTGGAGGGGGGAGAAGAGTTGACATGTCTTACAACACTTGAATGCTGTAGTGTTCATGTACCTGCAGAGCTAAAGCTCCCAGTTAATTATCTAGCCTTACTGTTTTATGGAAGTTCATGTGTCTTCAAGACCTTAATAAATCAAGGCTTACTTGGCATCCGTCTCCTGTGTAAGGCTGGGCAGGTGTTGAACTGTGAATGCTGATCTGAATTGTGATTGCAGTAGCTGGCTACAGTGGCACTCAGCCTATTATTTTTGCTCTCAATTTGTTCCCTGCAACTGAGCTTTGGGCTGGGAAGTGCCATTTGCATTGTTTAAATGCCATCTCAAAGTCTTGAACTAATTCACTTCTATGTGTTAGCACAATATCAGGGTGATCACAATGTTTTTAAATACATCAGGGTTTTCCCTTGTAACATTGTTTAAAAAACTGGCATTTAATCACATATGCACTCATAAAGTACTAGTCTGATTAGGGTTGAAATATCCATATAGATACAAAGTGTGGTAGTGCTCCGGAACAAGGACAAACATATAGAAACATGCTCTCAGTTACCATTCCAAGGAGGCAGTTTATCTATAAATCAAACATGTGGCACACTTTGCTTCAGATTATCCTCTTGATGCACCAAAGCAGCATCTAATCAGCTTTCACTCTAACAAATACAGATTTGTGTCATAAGTGATGTAGGAAATAACCCACAATCTCACTCTGCACTTGCAGGAGAACAATAACAATCTTTTCCCATGAAGGTCTAAGGTGTTCCACATACAAAGTAAATACCGGTGCACAGAAGGACTTTGCGTGATGTGAAAACTCTGGAGGGATTAGAAACACTTTGTCTGTTGAAGATTATATTACAGTACTGCAGTACTCTATACAGAATTGCAAAACCAAATCCCGATCATTTGAACATAAGGTGAAAGTATTACATTTTAACTACAAATTTAAATGGAATAATTCTTAGGAGAATCCTGGTAAAAAATAGAAACAGAATAATTTATCTTACTTTTGGAAAATGCTTACCATTACCATCACTACTAACAAGAAAACGAGAATTTCTGAAATTCAATATATTAAAGCAGTATGCCTTAAAATCCTCTCAAAGCTCAATCTAAATAATCAGAGAACTAAGCATTCTGTAATTATATGTAAGAGTTTTACCCAGATTTTCATTCTTGACTGCAGAACTGTGTTAAGACACATTCAGAATTCCTATTTTGGTTGTTACTTTGCTTACTCAGACAAGCTCTATTGATCTCAAAGAGCTTTGTGCACACATAAAGACTGATTAAAAGCTGTGGAAGGCCACTGATCCTTTGTCTTTAATTTTAAGCCTCAGGGAATCTGGTTTATTCTCCTGAACTTTAATTCTGACATTTTCTCCACTTCTAACTCAAGTAGAGGCAACAACTTGAAAAAACTCAGCTTCCAAAAAAGTCATACCTTTTTTTTTTTTTCTGAGACAGATGATTAGCAGGGAAACTTCCTCTCCAATGCAGTTAAAGCAGCCTTCTGTGCTGTGGTTAGAGAAATGGGCAGTACTGCTCAACTTTTACTGCAGCTCCAGGATCCTGGGAGCCAGTATAAAGTGACCCAACAGCTCAGGGTAAGTAAATTTTGTGCTCAGCCTCCCCTGACTGGTTGGCATTCCTCCTCCACATCTTTGACAAAAGGCAGCCAGCTGCAATTTTCAGTCAGGAACTTCCAACTGCTGAGGCAGCAGGCTTGAACGCACTCCTCAGTCCCTCATGCTTTCCACAGTTCACATCATTACTACCACCGCAACACCGGAGGTGTGTTATTTATAGGTATTTATGTCATACACAAAAGACGCCAACTGCTTCCGGACAGCTACCACTACAGTGATGGATCCCTCGCCCAAGGGGTTCGTCGTCTAAGCAAGCCCGACGACATGAAGGCCTGGGAAGGGGGTACGGCGGGAAGCAAGCGGCTCCACACGGAGCCCACAGCATCGGTCCCACAGCTCTCACCGGCATCCCCTGAAGAAGGCGGCGGCGGCGAGCTGGGCTGCCAACACTCTGGCCCTTTGCGCTGCCGGGCGGCGGGAAGGCCAGTGTCGGGCATCCTGGGTGGGACACGCTCTGCCCGAGGACCTGCCGCCGCCAGAGGGGTTGGTGAGGGCGAGCAGCGGCGGCCGGAGGGCACGAAGCCCGCTGCCTTCGCTCCCGGGGCACACCTGAGGCGCTGAGGCGGCTCCCGCCGGCGGAGGAGGGCGG